TGTCCGTACGACATCGACAACGAATCGAAGTCGTCGTCAGGTCACGAGGGTGAATACAAGTGCGACGAGGGTGACGCTGAGGTTTAAGATGCTCGGGGCCGGAGGCGAACGAACGTGGCGGGCGGAGGAGCTCAGCCCCAGGAAGCAGAGGACGGAGGAGCGGAGCTCGCTGGCCCGTCCCTCCTGGGGAGGGCCGCCTGCCGGAAGCAGAAGGTGCTTCCCTGCTCCCAGCCTCCCGGCGTCTGTGCACTTGGCCGTCACCTTCAGCTCCAGCTCTGTGCACCTGGCCGTCACCTTCAGCTCTAGCCACTTAGCATCACCTGGGGGAAAGACTGTAGAAGAATCATAAGGTGGAAAACGTTGCCCCAGAGTCATCACCCCAACTTCAAAGGAGCGCGGGGAGAACCGTCACGGAGGCGCTTGAGGAGGACATGGCACAGCGGGTGTGGGCGGCGACAGCGTCGTTCACAGCAGCCGACCTCAAAAGCGTGACTTCCTTGACACAGATAGTTTTTAATGATTTTGAAAAGAAGCTCAGATGTTTTCTGTGGTTTTGAAAGGGAGCCAACGCCACACGGCTTGATGACACGTCTCTCTGGTGAAAAAGTTTATATCTGTTCCTCTGTCCCCGAGAAAATTCCCGGGGCTCCCTGGTCCCCCATCCTGCCCAGCCCCAGACTGAGCTTTTCTGGGATGCTGGTGGTTCCTGTCTCTCCTGCCTGCAGAACTCGACCCAGACCTAAACCGCCATCTGTTTTCCGCATTTGTCCCAGGTCAGGAGCATTTTATAATGGGGCCCCACAAACCTCCGTGCCAGACACCCACAGTTTCCAGCGGTCGTTGGCTTCGTGCCAGTCCAAACCGGAATGCGACAAACCCAGCAAGAACTATCATCAGCGGCCACAGGGAATTTCTGTTCAAATAGGAACAGGACACTGAAGTGGAGGTTTGCCCTCCAGCCCATCCGGTGTGGGGGCACATGCAGCCCCGGGGCCTGGAGTGCTGGGGGGTGCTCGCCTGCCCCACTGAATCCGTGTCCGTCTGCTGTAATCACAACCCTCCAACCCGTTGCTCAGAAGGAATAACGTCCTCAGTCGCCACTGCCAACCACGTCTGAACTGAACAGATGCCGAAAAGGCGAGGGTGGGTGGGACGGACAATGCCGAGTCGCTTTTACACGTGGAGCCCAGATGACAGGAGAGCCACACCGGCTTTCTCGTGCGTTCCCGCCCAGCCCTGGCCTCACTGCGCCCCCAAGGGCCGCCCTCTCCCCCGGCAGCCAGGCTCGCCCCGCATGCCTGGGACCTCAGAGGCCGCTCAGGGCAGGTCTGCCCACGGCTCCTCGGTCAGGAAAAGGCGGGAAGACAGAGAAGAGCAGATGGGGGCAGCTCAAACCAGCTTCTCAAACCAGCTTCTCAAACCAGCTTCTCAAACCAGCTTCTCGTAAAGCTTCCTTTTGAGCGTTTTCCAGGGTGTGCATTCACACGTCACTCTCGAGTCACCTGTGCACGGGAGCGTGCGTCCTTACACGCACGCCCCCAAGCAGACCTGTCTCTGGTGAAACGGAGCACGGCACCCACTGTGCAGCACCCGCCCGGCTCCGGGTGCACCGGGCAAACGCGGCCTCACATCCGGGAAGGGACGGCGCAGTGGCCATGACCGTCCATGTCAGGTGCTGGGCGCACGTGACAGCAGTGTGGGCTGTCACCTTCCACCGCCAAGGACGCACAGAGGCCCGGGCGCGGGCTCTGGGGGAGTCCGCTGCCGGCGAAGGACTGGTCACCAGAGGGCCCTCCCTGGACCAGTTGCCCTGAACTGGAGCGTGTGGCTTCGTTATAACACCCCTCAGAGTCACGAAATCCACCCCTGTGAGCCGGTGAGATCTGGGGTGGGAGGTCGCAGCCCGAGTCAGGAGGCGACACCCACCGGCTCTGGCCCCTTCCCACAGGCTGGAGGTGAGGAAGCCCCAATGCCGAGCCCCTCTCAGGAGGCGGAAGAACCTTCCGGAAAATTTCCGGCACAGGCGGGGCCGCCCCGGTCCATGGGCGATGGCCTCGTCGCCTCTGTCGGTCTCGCCGGAGCCCGGAGCCCCTCCCCCTGCCCGTGACAGTGGCCTCGCCTGGGTCCTGCTTCCCGTTCAGCGCTGACGTCATCGAAATCGTTTTCACTGCTGAGCGTTCGGCTCCGGCGTCTCTCCCTCCGCGAGGCCCTTCCAGCCCCTCGCCGCAGCTGTCACGCCGAAAGACGCGGCTGCGTTAATTCCCACGTGGGTCGCTTCTCGGGGAGACCACGGCGCGCCCTCCGGGAGCCCCGGCCCCATGCCGACCGAACCCGCAGCTCCCCAACCTCAACGGCAACTCGATTATCCGGAGCTGCCGCTTCCGGCACAAAGCAGCTGGGCGTGTGGCTGGAAGGCGGGGCCTTGAGGGGCCCCTCTCCACGTCGTCCCCTCGATGTCGGGGGGAAAGGGGAACACAACCTCAGGGAGCCTTATCGATAGAATCACGTCCTGGGAAGAGGCCGCTGGACTCAGGCTCGAGAAGAAATGTCTGCCGGCCCTTTAGACGCCGCCCGTCCTGCGCTGGAACCCAGCCGGACGCGGTCTGGCAGAGCGCTGGCCGGACTGTCACAGGTCAGGCCGTGGGGAAGGGGCAGGCACCCTGTGCTTCGATGATATGGGCTGCCACTGCAGTCCTGGGTCCCGCACCTATGTCCCCCCGTAAGGGCAGGCCTGGTCTGTCAGGTGACCGCCCAGCCCGCTGACCAGAGCCCGCGTCCTGAGTTGAGCCAGAGAACCCTGTCAGCCTGCTCCAGCGTCACTTCTCTTCCCTGGTCGATCAGTCCCAACACGGCAGAGGACGGTCCTGCCGTGACAGGCAGCTCAGGGCCCCCAGTCCGATCCTGCCCTTCCAAGGTCAAGGGCAGCCGCTCCCCCGGGAGGCAGTAGAAACAGGAGCTGGACTGGACAGCTTTCTCCAAGCTCTGGAAACCCCGCAGATCGGACACTTGAATTCACACTGAAGTAAAATGGGGCCCCGAACAGAAGCTGGCGAGAAGCCGTTCTGGGGGCGCTGGGCAGCTGGGAGACCCTGGAGACTGGCTTCCAGGGTCAGGGGTTTGGAGCCATGGACCGCAAGGTTCCCGGGCAGCTGGGGGTGTGACACTAGGAGTCACATTCAGGCAGCAGTGCCCGCCTGGCTCCCAGCAGACGCCATCCCTCACGTGCTGGTCAGCGTGGCCCCGTAAGCCCCACTTACAAGATGGCCAGCTGAGGCTCCAGGTGGCTACAGTCTTGCCCGTGGGGAGGGGGTGAAGCAAGGCCACGGGCGGAAGGGACAAGCACTGGACTCACAGCTCCTGCCAGGGCCCCCTTGCTAGAGGAGGCTGGTTTGAGCACAGACATCCAAGGACACGCAGAGACCTGGCACTCGGGGCTGTTAACTGGACGGCGGTGGCCGGGGACGCGATCCTGCCTACCGCCCGCTGGCTGGGCCCGTGGGAGTCTCGCACGGCTCCGTGTGCCGCGTTCCCTTAGCATGGGGCTCGGCCCGGCTCACGCGCGGTGAGCATCAGTTGTCCTGTGACATGGGAGGCGCCTGACCCTGAAGCTCCCTCTGACAGTCACAGGCCCGGCAATATCCGGCGGACGAAAGGCCCTGAATTTTCATTAGTTTCTCTCGTCTTGTTATAATATCATGGGCTGTCAATCAAATTACATAAAAGAGCTTAGGGTGACCCGTGGCGCTTGCTCACGACCTCCAGCCCCGACTGGCCTCCAGCTGGACGCCAGCACGACGTCCTTACCTCCCGCCCTTGGGTGTCTTTATTTCCAGATAAAGGCTGAAGCGTTTGCCGAATGATTCAGCGTGTGAACCGAAAGCCTTGTGCCCTATGACCAGGCTGCCTGGGGCGGGAATGGGGGGGTGGGCTCCCCAGGCCAAGCATGCGTGCCGGTTTCCCACAGCTGGTCCAGCCCCAGCGTCTCCTGACGCCGGGCAAAGACCCCGCTGCACACGTGATGCATCACCCCGCCTTGGCCCACTCACTAAATAAGTAAGGCAAAAAGCATGACTGTCACGCAGATATAAAATGACCACATGTCAAAGATGTTATCCAGCTCGTCAGCTGACCGAGGGACCCGGTCAGAGGTCACCTCCAATTCAGAGGAGACGTCAAAGCGCACACCGGTACGCCGACGCCGACAGGCACTCGCTAGGGACGCAGCGCGATTTGCCAGCGGACGCGCCCCATGTGGTCCTGACCCCACCCAGCCCCCCTCTGTCCCCT